TCAACTTTATGAATTAAAATTGTTTAAGTGATGGGAACAGAGGACCTGTCCACACTATAAGGACCATGCTAGCATGTGATGCTCTCCACTAGTTAGGAGTGAGTGAGTTCTAACTCTTTTCCTATGTCCAGTCTGCATAGAGAAAACATCTCTAGAAGTGCATTACGGACCTGGGCTTACCCTAGGCTAAAATGCAGTTCCACAATCATGTTTTCCCATCCATAACAGTAGTAGATAAAGAGCCACGTAAGAATGTGGAACCCCCTAGTGCAGGGGTGAGCAAACTACAGCATGCGTGCTGGATCCGACCCCTCAGGGCTTTGGATCTGGCCCGCGGGATTGCCACCCCATGGCGCTGCGGGCCTCGTGCCACTCCCGGAAGCGACCAGCACCATGTCCCTGCGGCACCTGGGGGAGGGGCAAAGGGCTCCACGCACTGCCCTCGCCTGCAGGCACCACCCACTGAAGCTCCCATTGGACAAGAACGGGGAACCGTGGCCAATAGGAGCTTCGGAGGAGGTACCCACAGGCGAGGGCAGCGCACAGAGTCAGCCACTTCCGGGAGCGGTGCGGGGCCAGGGCAGGCCCCCAGTGTGCACCGCTGCCACCCTAGAGCTACACCAGGTAAGCGGCGCCAGGCCAGAGCCTACACCCCGAACCCCTCTTGCACCCTGCACCCCAACTCCCTGCCCTGAGCCCCCTGCTACACCCTGCCTACACCCTGACCCCCGCCGAACCCCACACCCCTCCTGCACCCCAACCTCCTGCCCTGAGCCCCCTGCTACACCCTGACGCCCTGCTTACACCCTGACCCCCGCCGAACCCCACACCCCTCCTGCACCCCAACCTCCTGCCCTGAGCCTCTTCCTGCACCCCACATCCCCTCCCGCACCCCAACCCCCTGCCCCAGCCCTATATTCATGGCCCTGCATGCAATTTCCCCACCCAGATATGGCCCTTGGGCCAAAACGTTTGCCCACCCCTGCCCTAGTACATGGTTTTATGCCATGGTTATCACAGACAGACCAAGGATAAAGGTGAACAACTCCTCCTCAGCATGGGGAGGCCTGTGCACGTTAATAGTGAAAGTCCCGGGATGGTATTGGATATTTAGGCCCCAAGTGCTCATCTCACAAGGTCTCTCTCAAAAGATTTCTCCCCAACCATTGTATAATGGGGCAGAGTTTCCTCCTCCCCCACCCCCACTGCCATAGGGCTGGCCCCTAATTTCCACAAATCCTGGCGGAACAGCAGGAAGCCATTTTCATCCACATGGAAGCTCTGTGCTCTCTATACTGCCAGGGCTTCCCCACACATCTCGAGGCTGCCCCAGGCACTCTCCTCAGAGGTCATTCCCTCACTGGGAGTGGGGAAGGGCACAGAAAGTTAATACAGACTAGGACTGTATTCACTGGGTGGGGGAATTCTCTATAACATTGGAGTTAGGATGATGCATGTGCCACAAGCCCCCTCCCTCTTCAGTAGGCCCATGGACAAAGAGGAACTCTGCTGCAGAGAGAGCTGACACCCCTTTCCGCACAGGAGACATGTGATGCCCTAGTAGATGGCCCCCTTCATGCTCATATCATATGATTGGCTCCATATTGATTAATGACTTGGAGGAGGAATGCGAGTTGGTCATCTCAACATGCAGGATCTTCTACAGAAAAAGTCTGGAGGGCCAACTTAGATAGGCTCAGTGAAGCCGTCCGCCCAGTGCACATGACCAGTTAAGAAAGGGCACTAAAAGAAAGAGGTAAGAAATCTAATAATAATAATAAATTGAACCAAGGTGCATCTCACGTCATGCGAATGGAAAGTTTTACTTAAAAAAAACAACCCACAATATTTGCTTAATGAGAGACTGCGGAAACTAAAAAGACCCAAAGGGCAGGAAGAAAGATGGCTAGAGGAATGGCAAAACCCTATGGCTATTAAACTAGAAAGGAGAAGATTTAGAGCGGACTTGACTAAAGTAGTCAAAGTGTTAAATAGGACAGTGAAAAAACATCAGCCCTGCAGCTCACGCTGCCCCATAACACCAGAACAAGAGATTAGCACATTCAGAACAAAGAAAAGAAAACCCTGCTGTAAGCAGTGCACAGTACTGTCAACCTGCGGAATTTATACATTTTACAGGCTACTCAAAGACATGGTGCAGCTAGATTTTTCTTGCATAAATGTTGTATTCACCTTTGCAACTTTTTAATGCCCATAAAGGCACGGCAATAACAATAATTAATACTGATGTCATAAAATCCATAGCCAAACCTCCACAAATCTAAAGAAGAAGTGTGTTCGCCCTGTACATCTACCCAGTACCCAGTTCAGATACATGGGCAGGGAACTAGCGTCGGGCTTTGGCCATAAGCAAATTACTGGAGTGAGGAGAGAAGCTTCCACTGAAGCATTGAGTGTTGGCTTCTGCTTCAGGCAGGGAGCCCGAGTAGATGAATAAATTGGCTGATCCAGTAGGACAAGTTCTGTGTCCGTATAAAACATTTTACGTTTTTTAAATAAATAGAAAGCAAAGAATTCTGGTAGAATTTATAACGATCAATCAGCAAACAATCAGCAATCATACCTGTTTTTTATTTCTCTCATTTTAATCCTCATTGTACTACCCTATTTAAATACTTTTTCAAGAGTTAAATGGCCTGTAAAAACCAAGAGCTAATCTAACAAAGCAGCACAATTTAATTAGTAGCTAAGAGGACAGTATACATGAGAAAGATAGTTTTCAGTGTCTGATTGAAAACCAGGTCACTTAGCTTTATGGGGTTAACTAGCCAACAGGAAAGTATTGGATGTTAACACAGAAACAAAACAAATTTCCAATGTTTAATAATGCATAGCTATATGGCTCTAAGCTGCTATTTCTCCTTGGTTCCCAGCTCACTGAAACAATTTTTATCCATCTTTATGAGATGGTACATATGCATACAGTGAGAGAAGTCTATTAAAGCAGATGCAGTGTATTTAAAAGTGCTCAATTAAAGTGTGGAATGTTTCTTGTAAATTAATGCCCTATTGAATAACCATCTTCCATACAAAATTGTCTGTTTCTATATTCCAACAATGCTCTACTATCAGCTTCAAAATATAACTTAAATGCAAGGCTCAATGTAATGAATATTCCCTCATTTCAAAAGAACTGTAAAGTCTATTTTTTATGTGCCAGATAGCTTTTTGCGGCTGCACCACTACCAAGGCCTGCCTTACTCCCCCAGAGCGTGATCAGAGTGCTTTGCATTTCAGAACAGATTAATTAGACACAGGAGCAAATAGAAGAATGAAAAAAAGTGTATATATTCACAGATAATTTGGCAATTGACAGGAAAAATAATTCCCTGGTGATGTTGTTCGCTAATATTATTTGACCAGTTCTACCACATACACACTACTGACTTCAGTAAGTCTACTCACACACTTAAAGTTAAGCATGTCCTTAAGTGCTTTGCTGGACTGGAACCAGCGTGCTCAGCACATTCTAGGATTGAACCCATACTACATTTACAGATAGCCAAGTCAGTGAAACTGATTTATGGGGTAGAGATGGGAGGGAAAACAGAAGAATATAGAGAATAAATCTAAGTAGTACTTTTACACTGGAAATTAAGAATGTCAATATTCATACAGCTAAGTTATCCAGCCAATTCCCCACAGGCATATAATCTTTAGTCTGTCATTATCATCCCAATAGATTTACACAACCCATTCAACAAAACTTTAACCACCCTGTTTGGTTGTTAAATCAATATATGGTGTTGGATATATTTTGGGGATATGTATGTTGTTTATTAAATGTATAGTATAAATTTCAAAGGTAGTAAAATCTAAAAATGTACCATTAATAAAATTCTTAGGAATATTACTCCATGAATGGAAGTTGTGTGGATGGGAATGGGGGGTGTCTGGTAGAATAAAAAATTACTAATATTTTTATACCAGTTTTTCCCAAACTTGGGATGCCACTTGTCTAGGGAAAGCCCTGGCGGGCCGGGCCGGTTTGTTTACCTGGCGCGTCCGCAGGTTCAGCCAATCGCAGCTCCCACTGGCCGCGGTTCGCTGCTTCAGGCCAATGGGAGCTGCTGGAAGCGGTGGCCAGTACGTCCCTCGGCCCGTGCCGCTTCCAAAGCTCCCATTGGCCTGGAGCAGCAGACTTTCAAGGATGCCCTGCCAAGAAATCAGTATGCAAGAACTGCAACAAAAAAAGACATTTTGCTAAAGTCGGTAAGTCTGCCAGCAGCGTTGCATCTGGAGTCTTCACATATGAGGATGATGGTGAACTGAATCCTGATGGTGTTTGGAATGTGAGAGGAGATCACCACACCACCAAGTGCGAGTCAATGGCCCTGAGAGGAGGACATTAGTGGATTCTGCTTACACTAGAATTCCCAGCCACCTTTAAACTGTGCTATTTTCCAGCTCCTAACTGAGTTGCATCCTCCAGACAAATACCCCAGAGGGTATGGTGCATCTCCCAACCCCACTAATGGTCTTTTTTGCAGCTGCTCTCAAATACAAAGGCCATAATACCTGAGGGGAAATCTATGTAGTCCAAAAGGCAATTTCTAGTTTAGGAAAGAATCATCAAGGGATCTTCAGATGATATTAGATCTGAATAGTACAGAACCTGTCCTGCAAACTGAGGATAGGTTACAGCCAGGAATTGTCTCTGACTTTCCAGAAGTTTTCACTGATACCACAGGTGTAGCAAAAAAGTTCAAAGCACAAGATCCAACTAAAAAACAAAGTGGTGCCTGTATAGCATAAAGTGCGAAACATACCAATTGCATTGAGACAACCACTCAATGAGGAGATTCTGAAACTATGCAAAGCAGAGATCATTGAACCAGTTGATTCATCAGAATGAGTTTCTCCTGTCATTGTTGCCAGAAAGGCTAATAGTGCTATCTGCATGTGTGTGGACTTGAGAGCGCTAAACTTCAACATGTGGATTGCCATCCTCTACTCAACATCAACAAAATGCTGCTCACCTTGAAGGAGGCAAGAGTCTTTACAACCCTTGATTTATCCACTGCTTACCTCCAGCTCCCCTTAATGGAAGAATCCTGCAAGTACACAGCTTTCATCACTCCAGAAGGTTTGTTCCAATTCAAGCGGATGCCATTTGGGTTAGTCTCTGCAGCACCCGTATTCCAGAGAATGATGCATGGGATCTTTGGAGAGACAAGGGGCATTACTTACTTTCAAGATGACATTCTAGTTTATATGCAGTGTTGTTGTAGCTCTGTTGGTCCCAGGATATTAGAGAGACAAGGGGGGTGAGGTAATATCTTTTATTGGACCAACTTCTGTTGGTGCAAGAGACAAGCTTTCGAGCTACACAGAGCTCTTCTTCAGACCAATAAAAGAAAAGCTGGATATTACCTCACCCACCTTATCATTCTAGTGTATGGCAAAGATGTATCCAAACATGATGTCATCCTACAATAGGTTCTAGAAAAACTTTGGCCACATGGACTTACCAACAGCAACAAGAAATGGCAATTCTGTACAATCTGACATATCTAGTACACACATTCTCTCAGAATGGCATACAACCAAAAGAAGACCTGGTGAAAGCCATTCATGATTCACCAGAGCCTGACAACAAGGACTAATTTCAATCCTTCTTGGGATTGTGTGACTACTACTCTGTTTTTACAGCAATTTACTATAAAAGTAATTCCTTTGAGTCATCACCTAAAAAAGGATGTGAGGATTGAATGATATGAAGTGTGCAAGGACAGCTTTAATGAGATAAAACATGCAATTTCCACCAGCCCGGCTCTTAGCCCTTTTGATTCTGAGAAGCAAACAATTGTCACAACAGATGCTTGAGAGTATGGTGTTGTCTTGACTCAGCTAAAAAAATGGACAAGAAATCACTATTGCATTTGCCTCCAGAGCCCTGACTGATCCAGAAAATTCCTATTCTGTCATTGAGAAATAAGCTCTGGCATGTTTCTGGGCAGTAAGAACGTTCAGAACATACCCGTGGGATAGGAGATTTATCTTAAGATCTGATCACAATCCTCTTTCAGTTTTCTTCACCATGTGAGGCTCTGGATGAGCAGCACCAAGAATTGTCAAATGGGCCACCAAACTAATGGACTTTGATTTCCAGACAGCGTGTCTTGCAGGTACCAAAAACACCACTAAAGACTGTCTGCCTGGCCTTCTCATATCTTATCTTGAGAGTTCAGTTGTGAACAGCGATGAATAGATTGTCTTTGCACAAATCTCTGCTGCAATTCAAGGAGTGATCACAGAATCAGAGTGAGCAACAGCCATGAGAGAAGACAAGGTACTTCAGGACCTAAAGACTTATACAGTCAATGGGTGGCCTTATAAGATAAGGATGCCAGAACACTTGCAACCATATAGACACAGATCACAAGAACTGTCCTTGTAAATGAATGCATTTTGAGAATTGGCCATCTTGTTGTGCCTACATATCTGAGAGAATGATTGATCCACCTGGCACATGAAGGACATCTCAGGAGGAGTCTAACCGCAAGACAACTGTGAGAAGACTTCTAATGGCCAGGGATGGACAAGCAGGTTGAGGAAATAATCAAGACTTGCCTGGCTTGTGCAAGTAATTATAAGTCACAGAAAACCTTCAGCATCCCCCTCACACCAGTTAACTATCCCAACTGTCCATGAAAGAAAATGGTTCTCGATATAATGGGATCATTTGAAGAAGATCTGTCTGTTACACAAAGGTTTGTCATAGTAATGGTAGACTATCATTCAAAGTGGTAGGAAGTTACATTCACTGGAAAGGTTACCACTGAATTAATGATACAGTTCCTATCATTCGTCTTCACTCACAAAGGATTTCCCAAGGAACTGGTATCTGACAATGGAATGCAATTGACCTCTGCTGAAAAGCAACACTACCTCAATAGAATGATATTGAGCACAAACCGTTTTGTTATACCATTGAGAGCCAGTGAGAATGAACAAACCATAGAAAGCTTTACGCAAAACACTGTTTGCTTACAGGACCACTCCACACTCAACAACAAGAGTATCATCCTTTAAACTGTTAAGAGGACGCAAGGCCAATACACAACTTACTACCTGTCAAGAGCTTACACGTTCTTTTTTTCAACCAAACCTTCCAATGAAACTATTCATGAATGTGTTAAGAACAAACAAGAGAAATACAAACTGGATGCAGATCGTAAGCCAGAGGCTAAACCTCAAAAGTTTCAAATGGGAGATTTTGTTCATGTAAAGCTGCCATATAGAGTCAAAAGAAGACGTTCAAGACATTCATGCCCTATGCAGATAAGAGAAATCTGAGGAGATTCTGCTGTATTTAGGGTGACCATATTTCCCTATGCTGAATACAAGTCACCTGGTAAAATTACTCGTATTCAAGCAAATTCAACGGCAATCAATCAGAACTGTGCAGAGAAATGTTTTCTCCCCCATTCTGCTTCTTGCCCTCCACCACCAAATTTAGAATTCCACTGCCCCCCAAAAGATACAGGTGAGAGGTATAGAATGGGCAATAGTCAATCCTGGATCAAAAAGCACACTGCGTGTAACAACTATGAAAAGTTCCTGATTTAGGGTGACCAGATAGCAAGTGTGAAAAATCGGGACAGAGAGTGGGGGGTAATAGGCACCCATGTAAGAAAAAGCCCCAAATATCGGGACTGTCCCTATAAAATCGGGACATCTGGTCACCCTATCCTGATTAGAGGTGTGTCAGCTAATTTTCACTAACATATTTGGGACAAACTCGCATGCACGTCTCTTGGAAGAAAACAAAGTGTACCAATTACATTTTCCCCGTTCTTTGCTCCAGAGTGCCATTTCTCTGCCACTTCTGTTTCCACGTCTCTCTCCCATGTCTTCCCCAATCTTCATGTGTTGGCAAAACTTAATTTTTATATTGCATTTTGGAAACGTTAACTGATTCACCAACACAAAAATCCCTGTTGGGTGGGTATAATAAGTGTGCATTATAATCATCATTATCTCCATTTTACAGATAAGGAAATTAAGTCACAAAACATAAGTGATTTGACCAAAGCCACAAAGGAAGTAAGGGTACGTCTATACTGCCCGCCAGATCGGCGGGTAGTGTTCAATGTATCGGGGATCGATGCCTGTACTCCACCTCGGCAGGAGGAGTAAGCGGAGTTGACCGGGGAGCCGCGGCGGTCAACTCACCGCCATGAGGACGGCCAGGTAAGTCGAACTAAGATACTTCGACTTCAGCTACGTAAATAGTGTAGCTGAAGTTGCGTATCTTAGTTCGAACCCCCCCCGCTAGCCAGGGCCGGCTCTAGGATTTTTGCCGCCCAAAAGCAAAAACAATTTTGCCCCCCCCCTTATTTAATTACCCCACCCCAGCCCCGCCTCAACTCTGCCCCCTTCCCCAAATCCCCAGCCCTGCCTCCTCCCCCCAGGCTCTCAAGCCTAGGAGGGAGGGGGAGAAGTGGCGCCCGCGCTGCGGACACTCGGAGTCTCCCCCCCCCAGGTTTGAGAGCCTGGGAGGGAGGGCGAGTAGCAGCACGCGAATCAGCTGTTTGGCGCGCCGTGGCAGCAGCTAGGGCGGCCGGGGCACATTTTTAGGGGTGGCATTTTGGCGCCGGCCATGCCGCCCCTAAAAATGTGCCGCCCCAAGCACCAGCTTGTTTTGCTGGTGCCTAGAGCTGGCCCTGCCGCTAGCGTAGCCCAGGCCTAAGTGTCAGAGCTGGAATTCAAACAGAAGAGTTCCTTGTGGTCAGTCCACTAGGCACTGCTGCATCTCATGCTATTGAGCTGTCTCTCCTTGTGGCAAAAGATTACATTAGATGCCAATGAATGGAGCCAGCTCCATTTCAGGCAGCCAAGTGTGCAGAGCTGGAAGATTTAAATTCCAGATGGAGGAGACTCACCCACGCTAGCTCCGATCAAGCGAGCGCTCTAAAATAGAAGTGTAACCATGACAGCACAAGCAGCAGGAGGGGATCATAGTTGGGACAGCTAGCTATACTCAGACGGGAGCATACTCAGGGCAGCTAACCCCTGCCTCTATGGCTACATTTCTATTTTTAGTGCACTAGCTCAATCAGACCTAGTGCGGATATGTCTCCTCAAGCTGGAATTTACACCTTCCCACTCTAGTCTAGGCAGACCCAGGATCTCCGCATGCCTCAAAGTTTGGCTCTTGGGGAAAAGCTGGGTCACCTTCCATTTTACCCTATAATAAGTCCAATTCAAATTCCGACCCAATTACAGTGACATTACCCATTCCAGCAAAGTGAGCATAAAGAAAGTCTACAGAAAAATGTTTATGTTTGCATCACAGAATCATTCCATGTCATGGACACCTCATAGCTGTCTCTAAAACTGTGCAAGTTCAAAAATTAAGTGGGATTTTTCAAATCCAGTCTGTGTGTTAAATTTCAGACCGGCATGAGGAAGCACACACAGCATACAAGTGCATTTTATACTGGGGTGATATGAAATTAAAACAAAGAGTTGAATAGTATCCCTTCAAATTGTTAGTGCAAATAAATTAAATCCAGTGAAAACTCGGAAGATCTATGGGAAAAAGATGTCAGGATGTATAGCAGGTACAGGCTACAACTGCTATAGGTAAGGTTATAAAAGAGTATCAATTGTATCCCACTTTTTTCACATTTTACCCCAAAACATTTGCCTTTTGGACTGAAATTTTCCACATTTACTCTCTGAGCAAAGGTGAGACTATCTATGCACCTTGCTTATAGTCATGTCATCTAAACCTCCCTATTCAAAACAGCACTTAAGCACATTCTTAAGTCCCATAGACATCACTTTAACACGCTTAACTTTGCACACATGGTTAGCTTTAAACATGTGCTGTTCTGAATAAGGATGGACTTAAGCATTGCTTCCATACTTTCCAGAATTGGCCCCCGGAGACCATCTTTGGAGGGGGGCTAGTATCAGTGGCATATCTCAGAGGGATAAAGCTTAAGACATGTCCAAGAAAAAACAACACAGGCCACCAATGAGAGAGCAGGCGGAGAACACAAATGCAGACGTGCCATTTATATATTTGCTGCAATAGCAAAGGATTTAAAGAACAGGGGTATAAATTATTTTCAGGAAAATAATGCGATGCTTTCCCATAACTTTTACAGCCACTTTTGGCTTTCCAGCCCAGCACCTCTGTTTCCATTTATTAAAGGGACATTGTTAGGTTAATAGACGTTACATTTATAAAAAATAATTTCCTCTGCACTTCTATATCACTGCTCTTCCACAGAACTCCAAGCACTTTACAGACATTAATAGATTACTCCTCGCAATATCCCTGAGAAATAGACAAGGATGATTCCGTTTTACAGCTAGGAGAAATCAGGGTCAGATGCTTGGAGCTTGTCATCCCTGCAACGTTAACTAGAGTGTTGCCTTTAACTTGGGTCCTGTCCTATGCAAAAGGTCTTAACTCAAGTGCATTGGTGCTTTTAATTCAAGTTGGCTGGCCTATCAAAGGATATACTGAGGCAGTCAATAGATGAACTGCAGTCAAATTCAGACCACCAGATGCTTTTGACCGGACCATGAAATTTTTTACTTATTATTATTATTGTATTAATTTTCTCTGGAGTCCGGACTTTGACTATACTTTGACCAAGAAACGTGGACCTTGACAAAAAACAATTGATTACCCTGATCTAGGTTAAAACTGGAGTTAGCACATCTCATAAGCTGTTAGCAACTCTGCAATGTGGACACAGACTAGTTCCACTCAAGAGCTGATAGTCCTCTAATGCTTTCCCACAATTCCCTCCATGTGCCCAGAAAGGGAAAGAATTCATAGAGCAGCTCAGCTTACTGCAATGCAACCCCAAAAGTCTTAGGGTACACCTACACTTTGAACTGGAGATGTAACTTCCCGCTCAAGGAGACATACCTGTGCTACATTTGATTAAGCTAGTGCGATAAAAATAGAGGTGTAGCCACTGTGGCAGGAGGAGGAGCTAACTGCCCCGAGGAAGATTCCCTCTGAGACCCTAGGTACGTACTTGGGCAGCTAGCCCCGCCGCCATGTGCACCACCGCGGCTACTCATCTATTTTTAGCGTGCTAGCTTGGTCTGAGCTCACCCGAGTATGTCTCCTCCAGCTGGCAATCACACCTGAGCTCAAAGTGTAGATGTACCCTTAGTACTACACATGGATGCATATAGTGCAAGCGTAGACACAGCAACTTGAGTGTTATTTTGCAGTGTAGCCACTCTCACATGAGCTAGGCTAACTAACTTGAGTGTGGGTAACTAGAGTTTACTCTGCACTGAGGACATACACTAAGTGTCTTAGAAGTCACAAGTTGGGGCAAAATCACTTAAACAACTCAGACTCTTGAGTCATCGTTAGCTACTCTACACACGAAATCACACTCCTCTGGAAATACAGTTCCTGAGATCATAAAAACTAGGGGAATTTTAAATAACTATTTAATTTTCACTATTTATGCTGTTTGAATGCTTTGTTTATTTGACTCCGTTTGGAAAAAACAGAGTGATCAGTTTGGCTTTTTCACACTGTATCTAGTCAGTTTCAATGGCCATTTCTCATGTACTAGCAAGAGACTAAATTACAGGTATTTGGGTTTCAGACACTGCACGAGGATGTTTAAATCCATAAAAGTACATCATTAAGGTTAAGATTTTGTCTCCATTATTTATAATAAAAGTCACGGACAGGTTGCGGGCAATAAACAAAAATTCAGGGAAGCCTGTGACCTGTCTGTGACTTTTACTAAAAATAACTAAGGGCAGGGAGCAGGAAGGAGAGAATGACAGCGCTAAGGCCCCCTGTGGCAGCTTGGAGCTCCAGGGCCACCACCACCTGTGGCAGTTCGGAGCTCCGGCCCCACCGCCCCCGGCTCAGGGCTGAAGATGGAGAAAATGTCATGGAGGTCTCTGAAAGTCACGGAATCCATGACTTCTGTGACCTCAGTGACAAAATCTTATCCTTATGTATCATAAATCAAAGCTTTTAATAATGGTTATGGACATTTAAAAAATCCATTTCCTGACAATATTTGTTATTATTTACAGTAGTTCCTGGAGGCATCAACCAGGATGGGCCATATATATACACACTATATACCTATATATAATAAATGACAAATGCTACCCAAAAGAACTTACAATTGAAGTCCCTGATCTTGCAAAGATTAACCTCCATGCTTAATTTTACACATGTGAATAGCCATATTAAAACTATTGTATTACTCATGTTCATAAAGTTAAGCATGTGCATAGTTCTTAGCAGAATCAGGGCCTAAAAAACAAGACATAAGAGGTGGAAGAGAAAAGTTGGAAGATTGTATTGAAATATCGTATTAGATTTGTTGCACTAACTAGCAGTATATACAATTCTTAGCCAAGTGGTGGCAGCTGTCAGTTGTGGTAGCCTATGAATTTTTGCATTTGCAGACCTTTTAAAAAATAACATCCTAAATCTATGGTCAAATGTACAGTACCTGACATTATCTTTTTTAAAATTACTGCTGTTTGTTTACATGCCAACATGCCCTAAACCATGTGGGATTGGTGCTTTAAAATGATTCCAAGTTTAAGATGAAGGTGTAAGTCATTATGAAGCTACAAATTGAAACAGTTTTTTTATTACTTTTTCATTTTTAGTTGTGATGCCATCTTAGATTTGTAATTTGTTACATGATCAAAGAAGTTGCTTTTTCTTTTTAATTGCCCTACCATTTTAATCCAACACTGAAAATATTCAGTTAATCACATCAGCTCTAATTCAAAACTGCTCCTGGAACAGGTGCTGCACAGCAGCAGAGAAAGCATTTCCGTTTAATTGACTAATAAATATTTTCTAATTGACTCTACTTCTCCTTGGCATTACAATATAAGAACATATCCAAGTAAAATAAAAAGCAACAAAAATTGCTGCAGAATTCCATTGATTTTGAATCAGACCATC